GGCTCCTGCAAAAACATCTGGCCTCGCGCATAAATGATCAAGCTTGTTTGCGAGTGAGGGCTTTATCCCTGGGAAGTCTTCCACACTTCCCGACCAAGAGATGACTGATTCCGAACCGATCAGAATAGAAACAAATGGTCAATAGACTGCGAAACCCGTCGAGCTGGCCCCCGAGGCAAGCAGTTCCAGGAAAGGAAAGCAGGTCGTCAGAGAATAGACGGCCGAACGTGCAGAATTGCCTGCCGGAAAAAATGCCGTGCCAGCCTCAAAAGGCGCAGCTTCGACAACAGCGATGGAATATCCCCCTGAGCTGCAATCTGTGATGCAGGCCGAAAAGAGGCGTACGACGCAAATTACGGCCCGCCTTGCCATCTACTCGACTGCAGTAAACAGTGTCGAAGCAGCACTTTCGCCTCTTTCGATTGGCAAGAATAAAGAATTCGTAGACGGCATAAAAGTCTACCTACGAGCGGCCATTGGCCAGTTTGTATAATCAGGCCCAGGGACCACACAACCGGTTCTCCCTGCTCGCCCCAATAACTCTCTTCCGACGAGGGCTCCAGAAATTAGGGCTCAAAACCCTTCGACGATCCAGGCTCCGGCACCAAAGACGACTTGGGCCACAGTAGCCCGTGCAGGTCTAGGCCGCAGCGCCGGGCCGTCGACTATAAAGGCAGCACCGCCCGCCCCAAAAGCAAAAAGTGCCAATCCGAGGACAAAAGTCGACACGAGACTTTTTCTACGCCTCAAAGTTAACCACCCCCACCGACTCCTATCACCAGCTGGCGTAAGATTAGCTGTGTCAAAGGTGCTTGGTACCGCTGCCGACGACACCACGTTGGTTCAGCGGGTCAAAACAGGCTTTGCACTGACAGCAAAGAATGAACTCGTTCGGAAAGAGCTCCTGGATTCCTCCATGTCACGGAGCGAATCTGGAATCAAACTGGAACCAGCGTCAAATCTGGTTGCCTTGCAAATTGCCACCATACCGGTGACAATAAACACACTTGCAGGTCCCATCGAGATCACGGCAAAGATGGTTGCTCACGAAGTCACGCGAGTGACGAAATCGGTTCCGTTTTTTGTTCGTCCGCACGGGTACTGCTAGCCTGGGGCGCCATACGAGAACTGGCAAGCCCTCTTTCCTCGCGAGTTCACGCTCCGACCTGGATTCCGCCACTTTGACGATTCTGGAGCTGCGAAGCTCTTCAGACCTCGTCACCAACTCGAACAGTGCAAACGTTGTCTTGGCTATCACGCCAGCCGCGGATGCTCCCGCGCTCCAGCTTGCTGGAACTGCAGCTCAAACATGCACTCGGAAGTGGAGTGCAAGGCCCTCACACGATGTCGCAATTGTGGGGGACCTCACCGATCGGACTCTCGGCACTGCCAAGCCAGACCCAGAAAACATGGACCGGTGACCAAGGAACAGCTCGCAGCAATTCGCAAAGTTGAGCAAGAAAGATATGCAGACTTTGTCCATGTCAAAGCTGCATACAAAAAGGACGAAGAGTCGATGTTCCGGTCTCGGGTGGATGTAAGTGATTATTGTAGTGTACTTAAAGAAGCTGGAGCTACCACGAAGTAGTTCTCCAGCTTCTTAATCTTATACTTTCATAGTCTTACATCTCTAGAAACGTCATATTACTCGTCTCGAACTCTCGCCCTCTAGTCTCAATCTTCAGACCCATTATCCAGTATATTCCCTTGTAGGTATTCGCCTAACCATTATTTGAATACGTACAGCAGACGGCGATCTCTAACTTATCCACCCCTCGCCGTAACATTTTGAGAAGCTCACTTACAGATGTCGAACTTGCCACCAATGGATAAAAACACTGCCTTACCTTTACACGCCGCATGGCAGGCCATAGCAGACAACTGGGGAACAGTGTCGTCGAATTCTATGGCGTTACACTTTGCCCTCCCTACTGATACACCAACTCAAATAAGACATTGCCTGAGTCGCGCCCATATGGCAGGAAAGTCCAGTTTAGGGACTTAGACCCCACTTGATGCATATTATACCCAGATGCAGTAACAGACCTACAATCACAGGTCATAGATCAGGCAGTGTGTCTAGGACAGGGGTTAGCACTGGCGCCAACTAGACCCACTATTCGAAATTCTCCGAACCATCCCCCCAACCCGCCAGTGTCACACATAAGTCCCCCGGAAAAGTTAGACGAGACTCGTTCCAAATTTGGCAGTTATATCACGCAACTTCAACTGCAGTTTCGCTCAAATCTAGGAGCCTATGTTACAGAGGAATCCAGAATTCTGTATGCAGGCTCATTTTTAATCGGGAATGCTTACACTTGGTTTGAGCCCCATGTAGACCAAACCTCTGGCAATATTGACTTCAGGACTTTCAATCAGTTCTACGAGTCTCTTCGAGCTGCTTTCGACGACCCTGATGCATATGCTACCTCAGAGAGGCAGCTAGAGGCGCTTCGACAAGAAGCCTCATGTGCAACATACTACGCCAGGATAATCTCACTGTTTTCTTTGCTTTGTTGGGCTGAGCCTAGGGTCCAAATACATTATTTTCGAAAAGGACTTAAAGACAATCTTAAAGATGCACTTGTGGGAAAAAAGATGCCAATAACTTTCCCGGAATTCGCATCTGAGTGTATTGCCTTGGATAATGAAATATTTGCGCGCAGTCAAGAGAGGAGGTCTGGTTCATCTACAGCTAACCAATCGATAATCCAGCTACGCCTACCCCTGCCAATCCATCCCACAATTACTTCAAGTGGTGATCCAATAGAGTTAGATAACTCCGAAGCTGGAAAGGCAGCTCGAAAAGCCTATCGTCGGGCTAATAATTTGTACATGTACTGTGGGAAGCCAGGCCACATCGTGGCTAAATGTTCGGTTCTTGCAACCCGCTCGTCTGGAACAGGATCACGAGTTATAATCGCGGAAATGGAGGAGGCCGAAGTTTTCGTTCAAGATTATCCTAGTATACCAAAAAACTAAAAATCCTAGGTAAAAAGCGACGTTTTCCTAGCAATAAGTTTAATACAGGCTTTTCATTCGTACCTTCTCGTGTCGCTATCCCATGCTCTAACCTGTTTACCACACTCAGTGTAGACTCCTTGCCCGATTCAACCCATCATCGGCTTCCCTCAATCCCGTTTCAACCCAAAGCCACCAATCAAGTAATTCACACTTTCGATCTTGGCAACGAAAAACCCATGGCAATCACCTCATCTTACGGCGAGGGGTGGATAAGTTAGAGATCACCGTCTGCTGTACGTATTCAAATAATGGTTAGGCGAATACCTACAAGGGAATATACTGGATAATGGGTCTGAAGATTGAGACTAGAGGGCGAGAGTTCGAGACGAGTAATATGACGTTTCTAGAGATGTAAGACTATGAAAGTATAAGATTAAGAAGCTGGAGAACTACTTCGTGGTAGCTCCAGCTTCTTTAAGTACACTACAATAATCACTTACATCCACCCGAGACCGGAACGAGATTCGACTATGACTCTAGCCGCCCTAACTCTAATTTGATAGAGTTCTCCAGAGAACCTTCTCCTTCAAACTTCTCCTTGAACTATTCAGGGACCTTCCCCTTCACCCTTCTCCTTAGAACTTCTCCTTGGCCCTACTTCAGGGATGCCTAGCCATAACAGGCGAGGAGCGCCTCTGCGAAGGACGTCTCCATGGCGGAGGGATCGGGTTTCGGAATTCTAGAAACCGAAGAAGAAGTTTGATGACTCGGCAGTCCTTGGTGAAGTCTACGACAACTTTCACAACAGAAAACTGGAAACCGACCGACAGCAAAGGTTACCTGAGAGCTTATCTTTTGCTCTCAGCGGAGATTAGGAAAAGTCACTTGGAAGATGTGACAGGGAAGGAAACGGGCGAGAAGCGCGGGATCTGGACCACATATGAAATTCTTCTAAAAAAAAAAATTTTGATTTACAATGACGAGGTATGAAAATAGTAGAGGGGTAGCCTTGGGAATGTAAGATAGATTGGCTATGGAAGGAGAAATAGGAGTAACTACAGCGAGCTCTATACACATGAGGTGTGGGTGTTTGCTGAGTAATGCCAAGACTAGATTGGCATTCATGTCACGTGTAGGTGTTTCATGTTCAAGCACCTACACTGCCTTGCTCATTGCGTGTTTGGAGCCCTAAGGGCGTAATTTTTCCGCTGTGATTTAAGTTTTGTTGTTAACTTCATCTAATTTTGTTGAGGTTCCCGCGGTTAGAATGAGCTGGGCCTGTACGCAGAGAACCCCACCGGCTCCACCAGTCTTGTACTGATAGTGGACCTAGAGCTTTAGCTTAGGAATTTAAAATAAAATAAATAAACAAATACCATAGGGACCTCACTTGTACATATCAATGAAGATATCTCTCCATGAACCATCTTTGCTTTTCAAGCGTAGCTGTACATTGCCATAATATATAACAGGTAAAATATCTCTTTTTCCTCATTCCCGCGAGTTCAGTTGTGACAGCTGGGTGAGGTTAAATCCTCGGGGCTAACTTTGTAGGATGTGGAGCATGCCGCAGCGTTGAGTATGCAAGTCGATTTTATCTTAGTCCCGGATAAGTAATTACCCCGAGGGTCCTACCGAAGATCGAGACTATGTCCTAATGCACTTGTAAATTGAAGATCAGCTATCAAAACTCCGACACTGCGATTCGGGACGGAGGCTTCTTCAACTATTCCCATCACCACCGGCCCGCCAGATCTCTGCCGTTCCAAAAGCTGCTTCGGCTAAGTATCGGGATATCACCCTACCGGAACAATCTTCATGCGGGGCGATGACTCAGCCCTAGCCGAGCCTTGTGCCCCAAAGCGCCGACCCACTGCGTATTCAGACCTCGCACATCCACTATCTGCCGATCAAATCGATTCACGCCTTTCTTCTGAGTCATCACTGCCTCTTCTGTCCAGATTGAAGTTTTACTTTAATTTCCACATTTGACCAGTCCTCTACCAAATTTATCCAGCCTCGTACATACTGTCAATATGAGTACGCCTGCGCCACCCGCCGGCCTCTCCTTTCCCCGCGATATCTATGCGAAGCTATCGCCCTATCCATATCTTCTTGCGCACTTGGAACCCGCGACATCGACCGCCATCAGTGTGCGCGCAAGTGGCCGCCGACCACACGAGTGTCGGACGCCGCATATTAACAACGGTTCACTCACCCACGCCGAAGGCAGTGCCGTAGTCCGCATCGGCGATACTACAGTTGTGTGTGGCGTGCGCGGCGAGATTCTGTTGGCGAGCCAGGTTGCCGGATACCGGCTAGATTCCGAGGAGATTACGACGGCGCAGGTCGATGCCGAGGCGCGCGAACTCCATCTTCTCGTGCCCAACATTGAGCTAGCTACCGGCTGCTCCCCGCATTACATGCCCGACCATCCCCCAAGCTCACTCGCCCAATCGCTCAGCGCACGCATCTATAGCCTGCTACATTCCAGTCGGATTGTGCCAGGTGAGGATCTCCGTATCTACGCCGCCGCTGCGCCAGAGCTCGAGGAGCCAGCCAAAGTCAAGGCATTCTGGACCCTCTACATCGATATCCTCTTCATCAGCCTTGACGGCAATCCCTTTGATGCCGCCTGGGCCGCTGTCATCTCGGCCCTTCACGATGTGCGCCTGCCGCAGGCCCACTGGGATCCCGACCTGGAACAAGTTTTGTGTCAGCCGGCCCAGAGCATGGCGACACCGCTCCACCTGCGCGGTATGCCGATAGCTCTCACTGCAGCCATCTTTTGTGGCCGCGATCCTGGCCTCGATTCAAAGCGCGACGCACCCACATGGCTTCTCGTTGACCCTGATGCATTGGAGGAAAGTCTGTGCACCGAATTTGTCAGCATCGTTGTCGACGCTACTTCTGGTACCATCCATATCGTTGGCTTATCCAAGGTGGGTGGCCCTGTCGTCGGCCCTTCACAGATGGCGCAACTACTGGCTTTTGCCGAAGAACGCTGGGTCCAGCTACGGTCGCTCCTAAAAAGCCGCCTGCCAGCCCCCTAGCACGTCTGATATAGCGGAGGGAACAGGCGTTGTTGGGTAGCTTCGTAAATAGATACGCGTATAATGAAACTTCCTGGTCCTTCCCCTTCCCCCGGTAGTATCTCCGTACCTTCCAAAAGCTACTTCCATTAAGCTGTCTAAAATCGGTCTACAGTGGCACTGTTCGTTCAGCCGAGGTAGTTTTAGGTATTACTGCGGGCTCAAAATCTCGGAGGCCCTAGAATGGGTGAATAGACTGTAAACAAACAGAAGAGATCTTGAGGAAAACAACCGCTGGTTGAGATGAGATTCAAGTACGAGAAAAGCCGGGACACAAAAGAGGGGAAAAAGTGGAGAACGTTGAGATTTTTCGCGCCTCGGTGCGTCGATGTCAGTTTCTTCGGATAGTCGGAGCTAGAATCACTCAATTACATGTAGTGCAGGAGCATGAAATTCCCATTAAATGTTCTAACTAAATATATACTTGAATTATGTAATATATTGTCACGTGAAATATGGCCGATATCCATTACAATCTAGGTGAAGTCTAAAGTTGTCTAGCCATTTAGTTATGACGAGGTTAATTTACTTCATGGTTGATAATCTGATTCAGCCTATAACCGCCTGTATTCAGACTCCTACAAGAGTGCAGCAAGAGCCCAGTTCACAGACACGCAACCATCGCGAGCCAGGAATGCGTGGTGCTCATCTCATGACGGCGGTAGAGCAAATAGACTGGCAGTCAAGGCACGGACGTCTACGTTTCTAGGTAGTACATCTTGCCACACCTCCTAGCGAGCCTCTAGAAATTTACAAGGCCATAAAACCTATTTTTATGCGCCGAAATTGGTTTGGTCGTTTGTTTTGTCTTCTGATTTACTTCTAACTAATGATTATATACAACAGTCAATAATAGGGGAAAAGACGCCAAAGATTGCTACTCTGGGAGCCGGAGGCACCCAACTTTCCAATACCATGGAAGAAGGAGCCCGAGATGAAATGCGGTGTCAGATGATCTTAGCCCTAATCCTGTCTAGGAAAATTCTTGCCCCCTAAAGAAGATGAGGACTTATTAAAGAGGAAAGAAAATCCTCCCGAAAAATTTTGTCGCCTATTCTGTACGCTCTCTTGGCTTCATGTTCAGCAGTAATCGCACCTCATATGATGAATACGGGGATGTAATTCTTAATTTTTTACATCAGATTCTAAGGGCGTATGCAGCTATGAGGCCACATCAGAGAAATAGCATAGAAAAATGACTCAGTATGAATAGAAACCACTGATTCCTCAGATTTCATTTGCAGATACCACTGCGAAGTTATGGTGGCTCTTTCTTCATCCCAAGTCAATCCTCATCCGTGAATACCCACCCTGGGGAACGTCTCAAAAACCCTGAGTTATCCGGACATGCCTCCATCATCTTTAAACTTTTCTCCGCACGAAATGTGATCTGAGAGTTCTCCTTCCCAAGTGAAATAGGTGCCCAGTCTATTCAGACTATACCGAAGAACACCACCAGGAAGGGGGACTATCCTCAACACCTGTCAGCGGTGTCCCCTATGAGCCTCCAGCTCTCACTGAAGAGTCTGCAGAGCCGAGACTGAGTAACAAAGTCTTCACTTCGATGGGGATTCCCAATCGCTTTCGCGGTCTGTATCGTCTTCATCTCTCAACACATTCCCCTACCACCACTGTCATGAAGTTAACCACGGTCAGACTAGATGGTAAAGTTGGAGCCCTTCTCGTCAATAAACCTTGATCATGGAGGAAAAGCTATTCCAAGAATTTCCGGAGCGTACCCAGCACCCGATACGGAGATGGTGGATTGGATCAAGTTGGCAACGAAAGTTACAAAGAAGGAAGATTTAGATGAATATGCGCCCCTCATGTGATCCCGGTGTATAGGCCTTGGCTGGCTGGGCCTGCAGGCTTTTTGAGACTTTTTCCCGCGCACGCAGTTTCCATTGCTACCAATTTTATTTTTTTTTGGGTAGAAAGTTCGGTGGAAAAGGTGACTGAATTCCACGGGTAAAAACTGAGCTGAATGGCTATTCATCAAGGGGAATATATCAATGATCTTTCATGTAACAAAAGAGGGTAGGAGCACTGTACAAGGTGTGGCCTGGGTCAGAGAGGAGCCCAACGTGCTAGATAGTCATAGATTCAAGTAGTACAATAAACACATACAGACACATAGGAAAAGTTTTCCACTTCAGGTCTGACCACCTTTCCTTCTATGACTAGTTCATGACTAACTCAAAGCTCCTTCCTGTTAAGTTTCAGGGTTAAGTCTACTCCAAGCAGATTTTTTTTTTACTTTTTGGTCCTAAGCTAAAGCTATATTTTCCACATTGAGTCAAGGACCGGCGGATCCGGCAGGGTACCCTGTAACTTTTCCTACAGCCTAACTCGTTCCAACCTCGTGAATCGCTACCAAAAGTGCAGCTGATTAAACTGAAAAGAAAAATCTAGAAAATCAAAACAACTCCGAAAACCAGAAGATTCCTCTACATTGGACCCAAGCAATGTGCTCCTCACACATTCCGTCGTCCGTCACACCTTCCAAATGACAAATTTACTCAATCTCCGCTGAGAGCAAGAGATGAGTTAGCAGGCACCTTTGATCCAGCCGGTATTCTGCTACTGGTTAGTAGATGCCCCAAAAGGGACATCGTCGAGGTTGCTGTGTCCTCAAACTTCTTCTTCAGATCCCAGAACTCCGAAACCTGTTGCCTCGGTGTTGTGATGGGCATGTTATACAGCTAGGATACTTGCATGTACATAACGTGATTAGATGTTTACGCTGTTTGTGTAGTTCCTGTATCGTTTGAGATATCTGCAGGAAGCTCATGTGGTCAGGAGCCGACTAGCGGCCGCACATAAGTATAAGTAGCGAGTGCTTGGCACATGCTTAGCATAGAACAGTTAAATACAGTGAACCTCAGATACATCTTCAACCATAACCTTAACTCATCAATCTACATACTCGTACAAGGTCAGCATGCATAGCGACACTAACCTAAGCTCATAACCACAACACTCGGCTATAGAGACATCCTTCGCCACGGCGATGATCGCCTCCTCGGCCCTTTTGGCTGCTGCTCGAGCTCGTGCCACCTTCGCAAACTCCCCTTGTTCGATGTGGCGGATCCATGCGAGCTGCTCTTTTGTCACCGGTCCCCCACAGTTACGACACTTTGTGAGGGCCTTGCCATCGGCCTCCGAGTGCATATTTGGTCCGCAGTTTCAGCAGGCTGGAGCGCGGGAGCAACCACTGGTGGCCTGAAAGCCCAATCAGCGTTTGCACTGTTCGATTTGGCGACGAGACTTGTGATGGGTAGCCTTACTAGACACGTCGAAGAGGCGGAAGCCCGTATGAGGGGCGGAGTCCCGATCGAAAAGGGCATGCCAGTTTCGATTCGGCAACCCAGGTCGACACATCCCGTGGGGTCAGACCTGGATTGGATTTACGCCGGTCGTCATGGCGATTTGGACAGAGACCCACTCAGCACTGACCGCCCTGGTTCCATTCTCTGAAGTTATACTTACAGGTACGTTCGGTATCTGTAAGGCAACAAGATTCGAAGATGCCTCGAGTTCGGCGTTTTCGCTCGCCAGCTTCGAAGAGCCATCTAGCATCTCTTGTCGTATTTCGTCGTTCTTCGCTATCAGGGTAAAGCCGGTCCTCACTCGGTAAAAAGAGGGTATTTTATGGAGAAAGTATTGGAATAAGGACTCCTATTTACTTCTCACGGAACTTATGGACAGATTTCTCAACGGGTGGTCCTTTTCAAGGCGAAGGAACAGTCGTTTATCGACTTTCGCCTTCTGAGCTTCTTTATTTTGGGCTTTTGCCGCAGATCGCGGCACAGCCTTAACAGTAGGGAAAGCTTTTTGCGACAATCCGTTTCTGGCCACCGTGTGTTGTGATGTGATTATTGCATTTACTCTAAATTTATCTCTGCCAAGTGCCAGGGATACAACACATCTATGCGAGTACTGCACAGCCCTACATGGCTATTATTACGATCGACTATTGAGGCGCAGCTCTATACAATGGCATAGAGTAAAGTGGGATAGTATTGCTTGGAATTAAGATTATAGTACTTCATGCATAGACGGTGATGTACTGTATCGCGGGTGCCAAATATGTGTATATAAGTTCTATCTACTACTGTGATATGCAGAACAATATAACCAAGCTATTCATCATATCGTCAAGCTCTGATAATCGTTATCCACCCTCTGCACTATCCCTAGAATATTCAACATTTCATACCTACTCATACCTTAATTACAACAGGTTATGAGCCCGGGCTCTTCCACTGCGGCACTTAGTAAGACTCAGTGGTAATCTAAGAAATATGGGAAAGGATAGCAGACACGTGCTAGGTGAGGGCATCTTTTTCTCGAAGTGGAATAGCAGTCTTCAGGCAAAGCTTGCCAAGCGAAATCTTCTCGGACATGTTTTCCATGACATCGAAGAAATAGAACCAGCAAATGCTCCTCAGGCACCAGCAGTCAAGAGTGCCGAGCAGACACCTCAGCAGTACCAGGAATTAGTGGCAAAGTATAGAGCAGAAAGAGCAGCATGGAAAATAGGTGAAATCGAGGCTAGAAACATTATAATTGATCGATTAAGCGATAGCGTGTGTCCCCGTACATATGAAAAATATACAGCTAAGCAATTATATGAGAATGTGGCAAAAACTCGATCAGAATCGGCAGCGGCACCATATGCATCAGCCCTTGAAATACTCCTCCAAACAAGGTTTGCTAGATCAGCAAACGACTACTGTGATCGCTTCTTAGCAAACCTACAGAGTGTAAACAGTGCAGCTGATGCTCTTGTCTCTATACCATCAATCTTGGATCCTGAACAGTCTGAATATGCGGTTCTTCCAGGACAGGCTGCAGTTTTGTTTACACTTGGCACTAAAGGGGTAGGATGGTTAGATAATTGGAGAGACTCAAAGGCTCTTGAAAGCGACAACAAGTACTCCAGCCTTGAATTTATGATG